TGAGGTCAGATTTGAACGCAGGTCCTCCTGAATCCAGGGCCAGTGCTCTATCCACTGTGCCACCTAGCTGCCCCTATCATAGACACTTTTAAGAGCAGTGCAGACTTTCTCATCACATCCCATGGATACTACACTCAGTTTCAGATGCCATGAAATGTGGTTGTGAGCCTGAGAATAAAGAGGAAAAGCCAAAACATGGGGTTGTGCATTTCTATGAGCTGATCCATCCCTGCTCTCACCTCCAGTCCCCTTTGTGATCCAGGATGAGCCTTTGAAGAAGGCTGGGATTAGGGCTAGAGCCTGGTGAATAAAGCCCCTCACCTTGGGTCCATTAGCGTCATGGTCTGTGCTTGAACTCACTTATGAACTCATAGCTACTATTCCATTCCAAAGGAGGACTGTGTGTTCATATCCTTTGATTGCTTCTCTATGGGGAAATGACTTTTGGTCTTGTACACATCTGTCAGTTTTCTAGTAATTTCTACTAACCCTTATCTGAGGAATTTGATATAAACCTTTTTTTTCCCCTTTCAACCACTTCCTTTCTTATTCTAAATGTATTAATTTTGTTTGTGCAAAAGCTTTCTAATTTCTTATAATCAGAATTATTTATTTTACCTTTAATAATTGCCTCTACCCCTTGTTTGATTAAGAATTAAACTTTTACTCATACATGTGAAAGTTAATATGATTTTATTCTCTTCTAATTTTCTTATTGTACAAGCGTTAATATTCAGGCGACTTATCCATTTTGGATTGACTATGGAATATGGTGTACCATGCTGATCTAATCCTATTTTCTGCCAGGCTGCTCTCTAGTTCTACAAGTTTATCAAATAAGGAATTCTTTCATTAATTTATTTAAGTCTAAGTAATTTATGTTTTCAGGCTTATTGAAACCTGGACTATGGAGTTCCACTATTTCTGATTCTCCCTCGTCTACTCTTTTCCATTGATCTGCTTTTCTCTTTTTCAACCAATCCCAAATGGTTCTGATGACTACTGCTTTATAGCATAGTTTGAGGTCTCTAAGTATCACCCTTCATTTGTACTATATTTCACTATTTCCCTTGCTATTCCAGATTTTCAATTTGTGGTTAGTTTATTCGGCTCTGTCCTTCGGTGCTCCATCTTTTCATGTTTCGTGTGTCTCCATGCTTTTTGCTGTCCACCATTCCTGGAAGGCTTTGTCTTCTCACTGTTGTCTCCGGGCTTTCAGACTCAGCTCAAATCTCACTTTCTTCAGGTCTGTCCCAGTCCTCCCAGATGCCAGTGCCTTTCCCACTCTGAGATCTATCTGTATGTACTTTGTATGTATCTACTTACTTACATCTTGTCCCCTCCATTGGAATGTAACTTCCATGAGGGAAAGGATGATTTTTGTTTTTTAACCTGTTTGTATCCATAGCACTTAACATAGTGCCTGGCACACAGCAAGTGCTTAATAATTGCTTAGTAGCTGACTGAGTTGTGGGTTGCTGTATCCTATTGGGTCTAAATACAGGGATTCCATTGATAGGACTCTTTTAGGTGAAGTATCCCATTATGAGTCCATAACTTCAACCTCACTCTCCCAGCTCTGTGTGATTGGCCACTCTAGGGCCAAGATAAACCTATCCCTCTCCCCAGTGCTAGAAAAACAATTCAGAGTAGAGACCCTGCTAACAGGGTGCTGGAGCTACAGTGGCTTCTCTCCTGTTCCATTTTCTTTTTGAATTATTAAGAAAGCTAGACTTGGTCTCGGGAGGTAGCCGTCCTAATCCCAGCACTGGCACTTTAGCAACCTTAATTAGCTGTGTGACCTCGGGGTGGTCCCTTCACCTTTCTGAGCCTCCATCACTTCATCTGTAACATAGAGATAGTGGTGCTTGTCCTGTTCACTTCTCTGGATGGTTGTGAGGATGGTGCTTCGCAAATGTTAGCACTCTAACTTGGGGTTTTAGCTTAGACCACAAGCCAGTCCAACAAAGAGCAGGTGCTTTCTTGTTAGCCCTTTGCATTCAAATGGAAAAAAGAAATACATTCTTTTAAATAGTACCGTTAAGTCCTAGGCATTTGGCCTGGTAACAGAACAAATATGACAGTCCCTGATGGTAGGAGAGTAAATGTCTGGCTAGGCTCCCAACCCTCCCCGAGAATGACAGGTGATGTCTAAGGTAGGTTCCTAAGAGCACCAGGCTCCGGGGCCCCCAGGTCTTGGAGTCTGGCTTGTGCCTGGGAGATGTGGGCACCAGTAGTTGGACTTGACCGCAGGTACCATCAATCACTCAGAACTGGGGGGCCCTTTCCTCTGAGCAAAGAGGGAGGCTGGGGGAAAGGGAGAGTCCAGCTTTCTCCAGAACTCGCATCCCGGGCGGGACACTTTTGTCTGAGTCCATGTTGATCTTCTCACGGGGCTTTGCGCGGTCCAAGGCAGCTGGCAGCTGAGTCCGCCACCACCTCCTGGGATGTTCTTTCCCTCATTGATTTATGATCTTTGCATCCAGAGCCCCACATTAAGACTCCGAGGATTCCAGCCCCAAGCAGCTGTGGGTTATTGCTATTTTTAATCTATGCCAGCTCCACAGAGTGTTGGCTACTCATGTAAATTATCCAGATTTCAAACAGGGAAATCATGAGATGCTTACAGGAGTCACAGATGAGCAGAGAATTGGGGGGGGGGGGGACATGTACAGAAAAAACTGCACATTTTATGTAAATGAAGGGTACAAATGGAAGGAAATTCAAACTCTTTGTGCCGTTGGGGCACCGTCAGCAGCTGTGCAAACATTTCCATCCTGAAACAAGCTAATATCCGCCTGCTGCCATAGTCAGGGTAGAATGAGGCGCTGGAGGAGGATTTTAACTCAGGCCTTCTCACTCCCCAACCCAGGGTTCTGCCCGTTGCATTTCCTGACCCTCATGGACTCAGCTCTCCTCTCAGTGTGATGACTGTACCCTAGTCATCTGTCCTGCCTCGATGGAATCATCTCCTTTGCTGATGCTAACTCTGCCCAGTGGAGACACTTGGCTGATTGGGGTCAGGTGTGGGCACTCCTTTTGCAGACACAGATCATACTTCTCCCCTACAAGTAAACAACCTTTGAGTGGAGCTATATCTACAAAGCTCTTCCCCCGCCCCCACCCCCATCACCATCCTGGTGACGAGCCTCTCCTGGCCCTTGGATAGCAGAAGCTCAAGCTGCATTAGACATCTCTCCTTCTTGCTCCTGATCTGACCACACATGTGGTGTGCATGTACAGCCTTTAAAAATATGGGGTCCCCCAAATCCACAGTGAGACATTAGTCTCCAAAAGGACGTTTTAAAAAAAATAATCAATATCCTTACAGCATCAGGAGCCCAGGGGTCAACACATGTAAAAATGAACTCTTTGCCGTGGCCAGCAAATCTGAAATATCTCCTAGACTGTAAGCTTACTGAGGGCAGGGGCGCTATTATTCACTGTGGTGCTGTGGAAAGAACACTGGAATGAAACCCTTGGATTTGCACCTGGGTTCCACTCCTTACTACCTGTGTGACACTGGATAAATCACATTACCTCTCTGCCTCAGTTTCCCCATGTGTATAATCCAGTAGGCTTGCTGCCTACCCTGATGAGGGGCAAAGATTCCTTTGTTAGCCTTTCCAGCTCTAAAGGCCATGGTCCACTCATCAACACAAAGCCTTATGTTTAGTAGGCGGAGGAGGGACCTTAACCTGGGCTCTGTGAACTGGTTTTTAAAAATATTTTGATAACTGTATCTCAGTTCAATTGATTTCCTTTACAATCCTGTGTATTTTGTGTTACACATTTAAAAACACAATTCTGAGAAGGGTCCATAGGCTTCCCTAGTCTGCCTGTTGCAGGGGGCCATGGCACAAAACAGGTGAAGAATCTATCCTAGAGGGTTTATCACTAAAAACTGTTTCAGCTCTAAATGTGAGAGTGGACATCAGCCCTCCCTGATGCCCCCCGACCCATCCTTTCTGTTGGATGGTAGGTCTGAGGGGGCTGCCAGGCAGCACCACTGACCTCACCCCCTCCCCAGAAGTATTAGGGGCCATCCAGGTGTGAGCACTATGCTGAAGAGTGGGCGGAGAAACAAAAGTCTCAAAGATATGGTCCCTGCCCTCATGGAGCTGATAGTCTAGAAGTATATGGGGCTACCTCTGTGATTCCATAGATAGATAGATAGATAGACAGACAGACAGTCAGACGGATGGATGGATGGATGGATGGATTGATTAATAGATAAGATACATTAAAAAAGCCAGAAGACAGAGAGACAGAAGACAAGATAGATGCATGTTTAGATAGATAGATGATAGATAGATAGATAGCTACAGAGGCACATAGATAGATGCATGGCTTAGGCAGATAAATAGTCTACTTATTCACATTTCCTTGTTGAAATGGCTACGCTTGCTGCCTACCCTGATGAGGGGCAAAGATTCCTTTCAAGCTCAAAGTCTTTTGATTCCAAAGTCTATTATTATGTTTGAGTCTCAGCAACAACCAGCCAGGGAAGTAGTTCCTCAGGGATTATTTCTCTGTTTTACGGATGAGGAAGCTGAGTCCCAGAGAGCCCAGTGATCATTGTCCTTGGTCATGGAGCAAGGAAGTGTTGGCGTTGGGATTTGTCTGTCTCTCTCCCTCTCCGCCTCCCTCTCTGTGTCCCTCCCTGCCCACCCCCTCTCTTCTCCCTCACTCTCTCCCACTCTCCACCTTCTCTTTCTCTTCTAGGCTGAGCCTTCATTCCCAGGTAGCCTGGGGAAGGCTTTCCTACATTGCAAGACCTATTGGAACTGAGGAGCCCAGGGTTCTCTCTACCCATTATGTTCATGGCACCATCTTTGGGGCCTTTGGGCCTTTGCCACCCAGGCTCAGAAGTGGTTAGGGTGATCCTCAGCCTTCAGGTTTGCCTGCAGAAGGCAGGGGTGCCCCCTCTCTGAGAGCCCTTCTCTGATATCCTTCCACCTTCTATGCCTAATCTGCCTCCCAACCTTTCTCCTCTCCAGGCCCTGCGATGAACACCACCCTGAGGTGAAGGCGGATGGCTATGTGAATGACCTGGCTGAAGCTGTGGACCTCATCCTACAGTACGCCAACAAATGACTGGAGCCTGCCAGGGCCCTAGAACCTCCGGGGCTCCCACTTGGCCTCTGGGCCTGGCCACCCCATCCATTCCCACAATCAACCCCTCCCCAGCACAAGCCTAGGCAAGGCCCCACCTTCTGCCGTAGCTCCAGACCCCCAGGGACAGCCGCTCAGAGACTAACCTATGAAAAGAAAGACAAGAACCCACCCCAGCTGCAAGTTTTCCCTTCTCAAAGTATCTGAACCGACAGGACTCCTTTTTCCCACCAGGCTCTGTCTGTGACTGCAGCCCACAGGGTAAAGAGATTGCTGTTTCTCCGGGGGGGCTTTTGGTTGATGTGCCCCGGCCAAACTCGGGCCTTCTCCAGGAGTTGTCCCTGGTTCCACTGGGAGCCCTTCCCTCCCAACAGGTGCCCTGGAACTCAGGCCTAGTGAGGATTTTTAATCATTTCACTCCAGTGTTTCCTGGCCTGGAATGTTTCTATTGGTTGTGATCAAAAGAACCCCGTGAACCTTGGGTGACCCCCCCCATTATAGGATGCCCAATGGTCCCCCACCCTCACCCCACCCTCACCCCATCCTGCAATCATGTCCAGAGGAGGAATTTCCCTTCCCGGGCTTCTTGGAGTACTTGGGGATTTCTCATTATCCCGGGCCCTATGCATGAGTGCCTGGGGGCTGCTCTTCTTGCCCTCCCAGGGCTGAGGGATGTGCCTACATGCCTGGTGGCCGGACCTGTCATCTGCAGGCTTTCCTAGTGTTTCAGAGGCCTCCCAGCCAGGGCTGACCTGGCCCTCAGGGTGGCCGAGGGCAGCCAGGCTGCTGGGACGCCAGGCCTGGTGCTTGAGGAGTCCTACTGACCGTACTTAACCTTCACTGACCAAACCAGCTGCCCCGATAATTCCACTTATGAGTCTCAATGAATAAGGATAAATAAATGACACCCCATGCTTCCTAAAGGCTGTTTCTAAATCACTGTGATGAAGAGTGTCGCTGTGCGGACGTGGGGGTGCCATTCCCAAATAGAAGGAGGCTTAGCAGAAGAGAGGGTCCCTGGCACCGGGTCCCGGGAGGGCGTAACAGCCTTGGCTGCTGGCTGGCGTTCCCATTTAGAAAGGTGGTGAGGAAAGCCTCGGAACAAAGAAATCAAATTGGGGAACTGTGAGCAGCCTGTGGCTGGGGGTGGGGATGCCCCCCCCCCAGGCTGCATCCCTCCCTTGGGGCTTGGGAAGGGACAGACCGGATCGCCAAGATCCATCCAGGGCCAGATCCCGGGGCCTTCGAACTCCCCCCTCCCTCTCCATCATTTCGCAGGTGAGGAAACTGAGCTCTAAAGGCCTCCGTTCACTTGCTCCACCAAGGCTGGAAACTAGGCGAGGGTCTGTCTGCCCTCTCTTCTCTGAAGAAGCCACACGGCTGGCGAGAGGCTGCACGGCCCCTTTAGAAATAAGCCAGACCTGGCTGGCCCTGCCGGCTGCTGGCTCCTGGAGCCTGAATTTGCTCCTAACCCAAGTCTCCGGTTTAAAAATAAACTTCCTGCACAATAATTTGATTGTACCTCTTTTTCCAAAATCAATCCAATTGCCACTGATAGATCTTGGAAGATGATTTCTAATAAAGAAGTGGAGGGCCCCAGATAACAGGATTTTCTTCAGGTGAAGGTAGACAATGATAAAATATCGGCATCTGGCGCCTGAGGTCCCTGGACGTCATCCCCAGGGCCACTGGTTTAGCCCCAAGCAGACAACTTCTTTATGAATGGGGCCTCCAAAGTGCTGGCCAATTATGGTTAGAAGGTGACCATTGCCAGGGCCTGATGGAAGGACACAATTCACCCCTCTTCTTCTCCTTCTCTCTGTCTCTCTCTGTCTCTGTCTCTGTCTCTCTCTCTTTGTGTCTCTCCCTCTCCCTCCCTCTCCTCTATTCCCTCCCTCACTGTCTCAGTGTGTCTTGGTCTCTCCGTGTCTCTATCTGTCTCTGTTTCTCTGTCTGTCTCTCCCTCTTTCCTCTCTCTCTTCTCTCTCTCCCTCCCCACCCCAGTGTCTCTGTCTTTCTCCCCCTCCTCCTTCTCTCTCTTTCCTTCTTCCTCTCCCTTCCTCTCTCTTCCTCCCTCCCTCCTTTCTCTCCCCACTCTTTTTCTACGGCTCTCTCTTGCTTTCAGATGACATTTGCACCCACGTGAAAGCAGTACAGTTTGGCCTCTCAGACATAAAATATGCAAATCATTTCTTCCTTTCTTGGGTCTCTTAATTGCAGCTCCTTCATTATACGCTCTCCACGGCTGCCCCTTCCCCTTTGGCTCATCCATGGCAGGTCTTCCCATAGAAAAGGGTGCTTTGAGGAGGGAACAGCTATGAAGAGACCCACAGCTGCCGAACATTCATCACTCGGTTATTTTTCACTCATCTGGATCCTGCTTCCATAGTTTGGGCAGTCAGTAATCTTAGAGCTGAAGGAGTCGACATCATCTGCTCCAGATTCCTCGTTTTACAGATTGGTGAAGACAACGGGCCATTAGTTAGGCAGAGGTCTGCAACTGCCTGCTGGGAGGCGCCAGCCCTGGGAACTCTTGGCTAAGCAGCGCAGTGTCTGGGTTTCCCAGGGATCTGCTGTACTCAAAGGATAGGCTTATTTTGTCAATAAATCAACAAGCATTGGTTAAGCACTTTCCAAGTGTCAGTCCTGGTGCTGGGCTCTGGAAATTCAAGTACAAAGAAACAAGTTAGGCTAACTCCTTTTGCTTATACCCCCTCAGAAAGTATGACATGACTTCTGCCCTCAGGGAGCTTGTAATCTAGTCTAACATATAAGCTTGAGGGAAGTGCACAAGTTTAGGGGTGAGGTGACTTGGGTTTGAATCCTGATTCAAACTTAGTACCTGGGCAAGTTATTTCACTTTCCTGGTCTTAGCTGACATCTCCAAATGCAGCAATGCAATAAAACAACCATTTAGCACACATATTAAGAGCAATGCCCTGGGCTGGGGGGGGTAGGGGAGGCACAGGTTCAGGATAAAACAGAAACCCCTCCTGGAGATGCCCACAGCCTAGTAGGACAATAATGTACCAACTCCGGTGCTTGTCACACGATAAAATGAGGTGGTTGTGTGGATACCCAAACTCTAAATTCTACGGCCCTAATAAGAAGGCAGCCCAAGAAACCATGTGGAATTGGAGGAACCTGGGAATTCTGCATGGGAAAAGGTTTGTATGCATTGTATACATCTCATCATCTCTAGCCTGAAATGTCATAGGAAATACATTTGTGGGATTATAAATGGAGAACTGTGAGGGACCCAGAGGTCATCCAGTCCAACCCTCTCATTTTACAGAAAGAGAAACAAACCTTGAGAGTGTAGTTATTGGCCCAAGGTCACATAGAGTGACAAGCAGGGATTTGAACCGAAGTCCTCTGACCCATATCCACTCTCTTTCCCTTGGACCAGGTATCCTCTGATACCTCTGCCTTACATGAATTACATCATTTCCCTTAGATTAGAGGCCATAAAAGAAGGTGTGAAACATCTAGGTTAATTACAAACTTCATTAGCCAATATGGCAGCTGTTCAGTTGTTTTTCAGTTATGTCCAATTCTTCACGATCCCATTTGGGGTTTTCTTGGCAAAGATGCTGCAGTGGTTTGCCATTTCCTTCTCCAGCTCATTTTACAGATGAGGAAACTGAGGCAAACAAGGTTAAGTGACTTGCCCAGGGTCACACAGCTAGTAAGTGTTTGGGGCCAGATTTGAACTCAGGTCTTCCTGACTCTAAGCCCAGCACTCTATCCACTGTGCCACCTAGCTGTACAATAAGGTAGCTAATGGTGGCCATTAGATTGTAAGTTCCTTAAAGGCAGGGACTGTCTTTTGCCTCTTTTTGTATCCTCAGCACTTAGCACAGTGCCTGACACATTGTAGGCACTTAATCAATGTTTATTAATTGATTGGTGAGTGAATTCTTTTAATCAAAATAAACCAATACACTTGAGTTGTTCCCTCTGACCTATAGGAAAGTACTTTGTTGCTCTATCATGGCCAAGAATTCCGAAATCCCCTTGTCCAGCCATGATCTATTGGCTTTCCATCTCTCCTGTCTTGGCTCGCCAAACTCTGCTCCTTGCCCACATCATGGCCTCTGGCCAGTTCTCTCCCAAGTCATCTCCCCTACGCTGGCCATTCTTCTCTTTCTCCCATCTCCACTGCTTGGTGAACCAATTGAACTCTACTTTGTTGTTTTGTCTTCAGTCCCTCACCCTCTTATCCCATTGCTAAATATAACTACGATTACACCCAGCCAAGCCTCAGCCTTGGGACAAGCCTGCCATTTATCTCCTTTGCACCTACACATGTGCTGCTGAACAAAGGTGGAGGAAATCACTCAATCTTTCTGACTGGGTCCACTAGAAATGTTGTGTGACACAACCTCATTTGGGCCCTCCCTGCTGCATGGCAATCCCACTACACCTCCTTTATCAGTTCCCTATCCCACTTTCCACAGCAGCTCTTCCAAACCTCCCATGGCTCCCCTCCCCACACTCTCTCAGCTGACTCATATTTTACTGAAAATCTGAGGCTGTTCACCGTGAGCCCCCTTTTCTCTCCTCTTCCTCATCTCCCATCACTCTGGGCCTTCTGCCCCTCTCCCCTCCTTCACCCTTGTCTCACGTGAAGAGGCAGCCTTACTCCTCACCAAGGCTAACCCCTCTACCTACTCAAATGATCCCATTCCATCCTGGATCCTCCAAAAGATCCCCCCTTCTGTCATCCCCACTCTGTCATTTTCAATCCCTCCCTCTCTTCTGGCTCCTTCCCTAATTCCTACAACCATGGCTATGTCTCCCTGATCCTGAAAAACCCCTCACTTGATCCTTCCATCCATGCTCTTTAACTCTTCTGCCCTTTGTGGCTAAATTCCTCACAAAAACCATCTACAATTGGTGCCTCCACTTTCTCTCCTCTCACTCTCTTCTTAACCCCTTTATTTAAGCTTCCAACTTTATCATTCCACTGACATTGCCCTCTCCAGAATTACCAGTGACCTCCTAGCTGCCAAATCCAGTGGCCTTTCCCCAGTCCTCGTTCTCTTTCCCCTCTCTGCAGCCTTGGACACTGAATCACTCTCTCCTCCTTGATGCTCTCTTTTCTCCAGGGTTTCAGGACACCCTTCTCTCCCAGTTCTCTTCCTACCTCTCTGACCACTCCTTCACTGTCTCCTTTGCTGGATCCTGCAGATCACACCCTCTAATCACAGGTGTCCATCAGGGTTCTGTCCTGGGCCCTCCTCTCTTCTCCCTTCATACTACTTCCCTTGATGATCTCATTAGCTCCCATGGATTTAATTACCATCTCTGTGCTGATGATTCCCAAATCTCCCTTTCTGGTCTTGTTCTCTCTGCTGACTTCCAGTCCTGCATATCCAACTATTTTTCAGACATCCCAAACAGAACGTCCAGTAGACATCTCAAACTCACTATATCCAAAACAGAAGTCATTAACCTTACCCCTAAATCCTCCCCTACTCCTACCTTCGCTATTATTGTAGAAGGTAACACCATTCTCCCAGTCCCCTAGGCTCCCGACCTAGGAGTCATCCTGGATTCCTCACTCTCACCACCACCACCCCGTATCCAATATGGTGCCAAGGTCTATTGATTTCATCTCTAAAGCATCTCTCCAAAATACCACCTTCCCTCCTCTGACATGGCCCTCACTCTGGTCCAGGCCCTCATCATCTCATGCTTGGACTATTGCAATAGCTGCTGGGGGCAGGGGTGGGACCACCTTCCCCAAGTGTCCCATCTTCTTTTTGGCCACCAAAGTGATCTTCTTAAAGCACAAATCTGATCATGTCACCCTCTTATTCAATAAACTCCAGTAGCTTCCTATTCCTCCAGGAGCAAATACAACACCCTCTGGTGTTCAAAGCCTTCCATAACCTAGGCCCCCCAACCCCCACCCTTC